CATGTCATATGAATTACCACTTCTTCGCAAAATATATTTTCATTTTAATCGATGTGTTGTCCAATGTTTCGAGATTAGAGTTTATGGTGGTTTCAAACAAGATCTTAATCCAATTGTAAATCAGATAAATGCACCCAGTTGTAGTTACTGTCCATAAAAAAATCTAATTTATATTTTAATATTACATTGGAATGAATTCTGCTAGGACCATATGTATGACAAATCCTTGAAATAAATTTAATATAAGCTTTGAATTCAAAAGGTTTAACATAATAGCTATACTATAGATCTGAAGTTTATGACAAACGCTAATATAATTCTGACATTTGTGTAGTTATTTAAAATTTCAAGACATTTATTAAGTTATATTCCTATTAGTTTGCAAGCATTTGGTTCAGACGTTAAATCTAATATTATTATTATTAGCATTACATTCTTTTTAAAGGGATATTAAATAATAAAATTTTTGTGAAATTAAATTTTCTGTTTTAAGGATTAAAATTATAATATTAAAAGAGATTAATGTCATCACTGGTTAGGCTCACAGAATGTTGTTTTGCTACAGATTTACAAATAAAACTCACTTTAAAAACATACACTATTCACTTATATTATATTTAATATTTTATTACAGACTATAGTTAATGATTAATAGAGAATAACAACATTTGATTGACTTACAGTTAATGTGGGGTAAAATTACGCCATAAATCCATTACATGAGAAAAACACAAAAATACAATTAGTTGTCACGTAATGGACAAGAAAAATAACCCGGAGTAAAGTTTTAAAAATTTTAATTTTAAACAATGTTACAGAATTGTCAATACAATTGCCATACACTTAGTAATTGGTGTTATAAATAAATTCTTTGTGTGCTTCACGTATGAACAGAAACTCATTGAGTGTTATCTTTTTTCAATCACAAGTCAAGGACTGGTCTATCATTACATTGAAATGTATGACAAAAAATAGTTTTGTGCTGAAAGTTGATTGTGTCGATCCAAAGGCACAAAATGTTTTACAGCTCCCTATCATCTCAACCATACTATAGACCAGAATTATATTACGGAATTGTATAGCGATTCTGATTGCGCGCACTATCCCTATGTGTTTGTGTGCACTGGTATGTCATGTGTGTTAGTGTATGTGTGTGCGGGCATGTGGTCAATATTATTAATAGAAAACTATACCAGATTATTTCTTGAAACACTATGAATATAAAATAATTGTTTAAATATAATTTATTAATCCTTTTATCTAATTGTTTGTATTTGAATCTAAACTTTATAAACCATACAATGCATTTATTTCTATTCAAGGAACTCCTACATATTATAAGAATAAGTATTTCAAAGACAAATTCATTGGCGGAGACAAAATATGAATATAATTTTGCAAAACATAAAGAGAGAAATTCATTGAAAGAGAAAGACAATAAATTCTTTCATACAATTGTATTATTATTTAAATGCATTCTTTTGAGACAAATCCCAGAATCGCTTTCAGAATATACTATTCAATAAAAGCATATTTATATTTCTATACTGTATATGAGAGTTATCACATACTGTATGATTGCTTGGAAATCTAATTTAAAAATATTAATTTGCTTATGAATGAGTTATAATTGTACTCCTTTATACTCGGTTAAATAGATTAATATTTTTCATTTTATTTTATGATCGCCACACTATTTGTTAAATAATTTTGTTTAATTATAATATTTTACAAAATAAGTTTGGATTTAATATTAAAAACACATTTCATAAATCAAATATAGATAATAACTATAATTACAGATAGATTTCTCTAAAAATAACTCACATTCAAAATCGATTAATTGATTTGACATTATGTTTATACAATATTAATGAAAACAGTAATGATTTTACTTATTAATTCTAACACTATACTATGAAACAATAAAAACAATTTTATATAATTAATATTATTTTCGGTAACTAACAAACAAAATATAATATAGAATTAATTAAATAAATGAATCTAAAATTATTTTTCAGCTCTAGAAACACACATAATTTTTAGTATTGAATATTAAATGTAATCATTCTTAACTTGATATAGATGTTCATGTTTGTAGTTATATGAAACATTTTGACACTAAAAATAATAATACAATAATTCAAATCATATTTACATAAAAATTGTTATATATTTCATGGATTTCGAAATACTATATTTACATTTGTTGATAATTATGGTGCATAGCGTTTCTGGAAAACTTATTTTCGCACACATTTCGCTTTAAACCAATTATTCACTGAAAGTTTGAAAGAAATGTCAGAATATATCGCAAATACGGAATATTCTGCTAATGGAGACACTGGTAGTGAATATAAAGACTTAATTCATGTCTTTATTTACATTCTTCGCAACACTTTCCATAAGATTTATTGTGAAAATTCATTATAAAAAATATTCACTTATAGTTTTCACTACATTAAAAACAAAAATATTCTGTGAATATTCTCAAATATTTCACAATAAAAGTATCTGAAAATTATAAAATAGCCAATTTTTGACAAGTGATCGATTGGACCAAGTTTTATTATATTAGGTGTCAAAAGTTAAAAATAGTTTGACAAATTGTTAATCGATTTATTCATTTCTAAACATTTAAGTTGAGTTAAGCATTGTGTGAGAAAATATAGAAAATGTACAGGTATTATGATGCCTTATTTATTACTACCGTAGTTAACAATTCTCATACTTTAATCGCTATAATTATCAACAAATGTCAGAGTTTGAGAGACAGTAATACTAGCGCCTAATGTGGGCATCAATTAATGGGTATCTTATCTGAATTCATATCAATCATAATTTGTCATCAATTGGTTGTATCGATTAAAGATAGTGACAAATACTACTGTATTCACAAAAAGCAAAAACAATTCACTGGCTGTACTCAAACGATATAAGTTTATTTATCAATAAAATTAATTTTTAACATTTAAAGGCATCAAACATAATAAGCCATAAATAATTCACTAGACGTTTGTTTTGACACAAAAATTTATTGATTGATGAGTTGTCTGGAAATAATGTCCGCCTGTCGTACGGGTTCTGGAACTCTATATTTACAACACTTGAGGACAACAGTAATCGCTGTATTTAAAGACACTTTATGTCCGATCGACACATAGACTGGATTTTTACAGCCACTGCTGGTTTTGAGGGCCACTCCTATCACCTCATCCGATGAGTTCGTAATCGGGAACTGATCGCCAACTTTGCCAAGACTTAGTTTCTGTCTCTTGTGGTCGTCTTTAACGGTTTGATCCACAAAATTAAGATAATACGGATTTTTGGCCACACCTATGACCGCACTGTCCACCAGAACACCGAAATGTGAGGCCAAACCAAACTTTCGCGGATGTAATACACCTTTTAGTGAAACATAATTCATTAAAATCTTAGTCCCGACACGAGATTGTCATAGCATACCATTGCCATCAATAAGCCAAACCTGTGGCATAAATTGGGATCCATTTTGCTTAAGAGTATCGTATTCTTTGACCAGAAACTCGATCTCACGAAACGCCAAAAAGCCGGCGATATATCGATTGATTGGTTCAATGAATGTATTGTTTTTATAGACAATTTCAAAGTCATTCTTAGCGTTCAATACCACACAAGTGACACAACCTCTGGAA